AAGCAACTGCCATGTGATTGGTTGATTAGATAATTGCATTAATGAGAAATTGAACAGGTGTTCCTAATAATCCTTTAGGTGAGTGTATATAGTATTAACAATGAGAATATGGAAATAAATCAAAATAATAATAATAATTATAATAATGATGTTCACTCCTCCGCGTCCAGACTGCAAATGAATCGTAGCTCCACCAGTGTCTCTTTGGGGTCACTTTTGCCGGTCCCAAGCCCAGATAAAGGAGGAGGGTTGGAATTGAGATATAAAAAGAACAGAATAAAGTTCATTTGTAGTTCTAAACGTATGTATGGCGTTTTTTAACCACTTTTTGTTTCTCCCACGATATTATTTCTCTCTCCTACAGCGCCCATTACAATTGCATACACATTGCATATTATGCAATTGAGGCGATGGCGTCATTTAGCCCCTTCTAGCGACATGAGGGACAGCCAATAGCGACTTTCTTTGCTAAGGAGTTGGCAACAATGGGAAGGAAGCGCTGCGGGCAGGTAGAGGCTTGAAAAGAAGCCGGAAAGGTGGCTTCTCTTTATTCCTATAGGCCGTCTCACCTATCAATTATATGACTTGTGGGCAGGGTGGGGGAAATAGGGGTCAGGTGTGCGTCGATCTAAGTAAAAGTTTTCTGGTTGCAAGATTTTACCGAAAATGTTGAATTTTATTATTGGGACGTATGGAAAAATGGGAATAGCTGAAGCTTTCTACATTTTTGCAGGTAATATTGCTGTAACTCCTAATCGGGGACAAGTGCCACGCCCAGGGTGAAGGTGAACGAAACCAAGAATATTCTTTTGTTTTGCTTGGGAAAATTTTGTCTACATGGTGATTTTTATATATCGTACATTTTAGCGATTTTTAACAACTGAAACGTTTCGATCCTATATCGTGTATTATTGGTTTAGATTTCCTGACAGTCTGGGTGTGGTTCCTGTATAATGAATTCATTGAAAAGGTAGTTATTGTATATAACATGATACAAAAGTAATAAGTTATTGTTTGCGCTTTGGACTCAACTGGATGTGGAGGGTTTGGATGAGTTGTCGTATCGCTAACTATACTGCACTCCAAGGTGTATATTTAAATAAATAATGTTAATTGCGTCTCAGTAATTTCCATACCGTAATGCCTTTACCTAAAGAGACAACTGAAACCAAAAGTTGTGTTTTCGGGGACTAACTTTAAATTTTGCTTCACGTTTGGGGCTTTTCTGATGATGGTTAAAATGGGGAAGGTTTAGGGGTTGTAAATGAATGTAATAACTTTTTTTGAGGGGAAAAAAATCCATCTTCTAACCGCTTATCCTGTTCGGGATCGGAATTAGCCTACTGGGAAATGTTTGTATGTACGTACTGTGTAGAGAAAAAGAGGAAAGAGGCAGCAACCACAAGTCTAGCGCCAAAAAGCAGGTGTCTTTATTTCGGCCCGCTAAACACACCGAAAAGGCCGAGCCAAGTGTGTCCCTGCCTGGGCATGCCGCGGTGTTCTGGGCAATTCAGTTTCCCTATAAGTTTCCCCTGTCGCGCGCTGATTTGTACACGGTTTCGCTGTTGTTTTCATGTCTTTTTACGAAGCTTTTGAGGTAAACGAGCCATATATTTTAAAACATCACATGCCTTTTCCATGTTTTTTGTTTTTACAGATAAATGAAAGTATTTAATTCGCTGGATAGAGAGATTTCTTGATGAAAACGGAATAGTATTGCTTATAAGACTATGTTATGCGTGACGATCTACTGTATTCACATGTAATAATGTACCTGAGTGATTTTCAGACATCTCACATACATATTTGCCTAAATATTAGGAGAAACATTATTTCCTGACATCCAGGATATTTGGTTCCCCCCTGTTAAAACAGGTATACGGCAACTGTGGGCCTGGGTACTAATAACAATACAGTATTCACATGTAATAATGTACCTGAGTGATTATAAGACATTTCACATACCTCTTTGCTTTAATATTAGGGGAAACATTATTTCCTGATAGACAGGGGAAACATAGGGAAACCGAATTGCCCGGGACACCTGTTTTATGCCGAAAAAGGCATCCCTGCCGTAGAATGCATGCCTGTCTCTAAATGACCGATTGGTCGCTGATCTGAAACGAGTTGAGCTACTTTGAGTTAGGCTACCGTAGTGCTAATCGATAGCCCTAACCGTAATCCCCATAAAACCCTAACCCCCAAAACACCCCTAAAACCCTAAGCCCCCCCCCCCCCCCCCCCCCCCAAAAAAACCCACAAACACCCCTAAAACGCTAACCCTACCCCCCAAAAAAAACCTATAACTCTAACCATCAAAAAACCCCTAAAAGCTCAACTCGTCAGAACACTGGTATGCATTCTACTGCAGGGATGCCTTTTTCGGCATAGCACCTGTTCACCACACAGCCCTGCGCCATGACTAAGGGAGAATGTGAATTCTGCTTAAATTATAGCCCCTACGACAGATACAATATACCAATCCTATACATCGACGTTTGTCCAGCGTTGCAAGTTAAATTCAAATTCACGTTATCGTGTCGCGTACAAATGAACAAATATATATCAGCGTTTGATCGATCCAGGCGGTGATTTAAATTTCAGTGAAACAGCCGAAGACACCGAATTGTAGTGTAATGTGTGGTCGGTCGGCCTGCTTGTTGTATGACCGATGAAGCCGCAGGAAAAGTGACGCATCTTTGTGTGTTCTCCTTATTTCTATTTCGAAATCTCTGCAGCAAGTCTAAGTTAATGGAAAAAGAGAACTTAGTCAGTAGGCATGGACGATATCTCCGATTTTCTTTTCGCTTCGGTAAAAGATTGACATAGTTGATACCGCTCTCCAACATCCCAAGAGAGAGTTTGATATCGAGAGGGACCTAAGTTATTAATTTGATTACAAAATTCTACTTTTTTGAGGGTGAATTCATCCAAATTAAATGTTTGGGAGTACATGTCCATTCCGGACTGTATGTCCCTTCCGATCTTAATACCGATATTCAGTGCTAGGGCAACACTGACGATTAAACCCGCCGATCGTTCAATTTCCATTGTGCTTGCCCCTCCGTTGTAGACCTAGTTCAGGGGCACCGTAAGGGGGAGGAAAGCTAGGACGATTCCAAGGGCCCCTGAGTGACAGGGGCCCTAAAAAATTAGGAAAATAACTGGATTGGTTTGGACTGGGGGGCCTAATATGATATGCTTTCATGGGGCCCAAAATCTCTAGCAACGCCCCTGACCTAATTAATGCCCTCCCTGCTCCTTATAACAATATGCCTATGAGCATAAATATCTTTTTCGTACCTGATAATTTAATATTTAAAAATAATATGTATTACTGATAAACCTGCAGGAATACTGGACCTATTCCATATTTGTGATGTCTGCATTGTGAAGTCGAAAGCAATGCTTCTTGGTGCTTTTTACTATAGAGTGGGATGCTGCGTTCTTGTTTTTGTCTGTTTTGAATCAAATCTGAAGTTAAGCAAAAAGAGTGTTGATTTCTATGTAAAACCAGCAGTTTGGTCATTATTCTTTGGATGTAGGGTTTTGCTGTGGAGTAAGTCAATAATATACCTGGACAGTGGAAACATTCACAACGACCGTTCACAGATACTGTTCTCGCTGTCTGAGTTTAAAAACCCACTTTAACACTGTGTTTGTGGTACATATCTCAGTTTCATGCTTGTCAGTTTTCAGTGTACCATCGTATGTTCTGTCTTCCTTAGTGCTTTCTGCCGCATCTGGGATCCAGGTGTCCATTCCACAGAAGGTTTACGAGGTCGCCAGGGGTGATAACATCAGTCTGCCCTGCACGTTTACGTCCAATGTCAAAGTAACCACAAGTGCTTCAGCCAATTGGGCCATTCTAGGGGGCACCCCTGATGACCCCACATCGGTGAGACACAAGAACTCCAGAAATTGATTATGTATTAATGCACTGGGCTGTTCACTACATAGTTAAAAAAAAAAAAATGCTAAACAGACTAATTTCCATGCATGTTCCTGTTCTGAAGGGTACACCATAATATCCTTTTAAAAATAAATCAACCAGATGGAAACTTAGTTTGCAGTTTTATTTCCTCTTACTTAATAACATATAACGTTTAATCCGTATTTTACCCAGATCAGGTTTTTCCCCTTTAGCTTTCATCATTTCAGCTTTTATCATTTGGTCTTCAGCTCAGACATTTATTTTTAAAATGAATTTCTCCACAGGATCCGGTGGCCACCTACTACTTCTCAGAGAACAATTTGGATGTGTCGGCCCAATTTGCAAATAGAGCCTCCATGAATCCTCAGTTCAGCACTGGACAGATCGACCTCTCCCTCTCCAACATCATGATGTCGGACAATGCGACGTTCGAGTGCCAAGTCCAGATCCCGAAAGATATGGGGGGAAAGCCAAATGCCAAAACTCGACTGGTCGTGCTGGGTGAGGACCAGGGTTGTTATCGTCAACGAAAAATAAATTTTAGAATATGAGAACATTTACGTAGACTGAAGTAAAATAAGATACAAAAAACTGAAACTAAACAAAAACTATAAATGTTGCTTCTGAAACTAACTGAAATTACAGACGTCAAATTGTTAGTTTTTTAAAATTATTTAGCTAATGTAATTGTTTATTTTTCCTCCTGGATGGCAATCATTCAAGAAAAAGTAGACCCATCAATGGGCTTCCAAACTATCCAGCCCACAACCCCCAAAACTACAGTTTCAGATGAAAATAAAAAATATATATAAATGTAAAAGCTACCCCCTCTTTCTATGATTAGTGGCTCCCTCAGTACCTGCATGCGGGATCCAGGGGTCGCCAACAATAGGCCAGGACATCATGCTGACCTGCAAATCCAGTGAAGGTTCTCCTGTACCCACATACACCTGGCAGAGTTTCGACAAGAACAACATCCCCAGGGCCCTTCCGCCCCGGGCCACCAGCAGTACGTGTCCTGTTACCTATTCACTTCCCAGATTTAATGCTCCTGTACATGGAAAATGATTTTGCTGTAAGTTCCCTGAAAAAATGGAAGGTTTTTTTCTTCTGTAGAGGATGGTGTATTGTCTCTCTTCAATATTTCTGCGGACACCACTGGCTATTACATCTGCACGTCTGCAAATAAGATTCGCAGCCAATCCTGCAATTATACTCTGGCTGTCACATTACGTGAGTACCTCCCAGTTTGGTGTTTGTCTGCAGAGAACCAGAAGTATGCTTTTAGATCTTTAGCATCACACTTGTTCAGGACTGAGGTCTCTTGCCTGCCCTTAAAACCCTGTGATGGATGAGACCCGTCTGTGAGTCACTGACTGGTTTATCCTGCTTCCTTTCGATTACTTTATCGCCTCCCCTTGAGGCTAAACCTGTGAGTGCAGAGTTAATCCCACCCACTCGTATTGCCAGGGTCGGCAGACTGATTTCACCGTTGGGCCCTTGAGCATGGCCCTTAACCCCCAGTTGCTTCAAGAACTGGGAGATCCTGCTTTCTCAACTGTTGCTAAAATGGATAAAAGCATCTGCTAAATAAATAATAATAAAAAAAAATCTAAATATTCTTGCCAAACTAGAAGACATGAGTAGGAGTAAATGAGTAGTTGGTTCACTGTGAGTATCATAACGGCTTAAACGTTTCAAGGAGACTGCATTTGAATGGAAAGATGCATGTAGCCATTCAATATGGTGGCAAGTCTCTTGTCCTTTACAATCCTGTGTGGCAGCTTCTCCTTGCCTATTCCATCACTCACAGTCTCCAGTCTTCCTTCTTTGCAGCCTCCATGAGCGTCGGCTCCGCAGCCATCTTTGCTGGGGTCGGCCTGGCCGCCCTCCTCGTGGTCGGCATCATTATCTATTGCTGCTGCTGCCGCCGGAGGGAGAAGGATACCGAGGGCTACGAGATGGGGTATGGCCTTCCATATGTGCCCCCCCCCCCCCCCCCCTCCCCGTAGGTATTTCTGAGATTTTTGCGTAAGCTGATCGCTCTCCTCCTGGTTTAGGGAGACGGAACAACCCTTGGATGACTCGATCGCCAAGGCCAACACAGTGGAATACTGTGACGACAAACGTAGCGTCAACTGCAAGGATGGATTGGATGTCCGTGCTGAGCAGAAAGAGAATGGAAGAGATGATGAGGATCATGATGACTACGGTGGTCGACAAGATAATTATGATGACCGCCGGAGTGACTATAGCGGCCGACGGGATAACTATGATGACCGCCGGAGTGACTATAGCGGCCGACGGGATAACTATGATGACCGNAGTGACTATAGCGGCCGACGGGATAACTATGATGACCGCCGGAGTGACTATAGCGGCCGACGGGATAACTATGATGACCGCCGGAGTGACTATAGTGGGCGACGGGATAACTATGATGACCGTAGCAACAGGTACGATGACAGGCGAGATAGATATGATGACCGGCGTGATGATTATGACCGGCGGGATCAATACGATGATCGGCGTGATGATTATGACCGGCGGGATCAATACGATGATCGGCGCGACAGACATGGTTCATATGATGACCACAATGACCGTCGCAACCAATATGACGAGGTCTCTGACAACGACCATGAAACACCACCAAGCGTCCCCCCCAACAAACCAAGGAAAATGGACTGATCTCAGATCTGCCCCACCCACGGCAGGTGGGAAGGAGGAGTTTGTGAAGCATGCTTTGCCTGCGTTCATAATGTCCTTGAGCTCAAGGGGTTACCATGTAGGGGGCCACCTATTGACGTGAACCAGTCCATTTGTTACCGTTCAGTTGCAAAGGATGCCTTAAATTGTGAATTATGTCTGTTGTAGTTAAATTTGAACTTCAGGCTTCTTGTCTTCCTAGTATTGGTGTAATCAGTGTTCCTGCTACTCTGTTCAAGGTAATCTCAGGGGATTTTTTTTTTACTATTACTCAATTTTTACTCTGTGGTATACTTCATATTTGTGGGATTCTTTCATCAGGGCAAATAATACTTATTTTTATATCTGTATTTGTTTTTTATATGTACTTTTTAAAAATCAGTTAATATTTTGAATCTTGTGTTTAGTATATTTTTTTCTTTTAATAAATGTGATGCGTTCGAATTTCTCTTGCTTCCTGGTTTTGTAGAAACAAGCCTTATGTGTAATTTAAATGTGTGTTTGGTGATATGAGAGCTGAGCTTGCTGGGAAGTCCTGAGAATGCAGCTAAGCTTCACTGAGTCCATATCCTTTACACAGCAGTTCAGGAAAGGTGAAGGGTTCTCCAGCTTGGCTCACCTTGTCTCCACTGTCTTAATAAACAAACAAATAAATCTTAGTCTGTCACATGCAGTGGTTGCAACCTCTGTTCTTTGAAAATGGTAGTATCAGTTTTTTTTTGGTTTTTTTTTTTCCACAAATGTGGTGGTTTTCAAAACACACCAGTTTGCTTGAGGGCTGTAACATATCAAAACATTCAGAAATGTTAAGTTGCATTTCATTTAAATTTTTTAAGTCCAATATAAAGCATGCTGTCCAGCTTAACAGAACATGAAGCTGTCTGTCTGCCAATGCTGAGACTAGATGTTAAGGAAGATGGAGTCCATTTCATAGCTTTGGTTTGTATGGCTGTTGTATGCTTTTACTTTCAGTTTGTTTGTGTTTGTCTAACCCTGACTCCTACAAAATGGACACCAGTCAGCTGACTTTTGTTCACAGGCTCTTCCTGATAGACTTCCAACTCATGCCCTTAATTGCTTGGCCTTCGCTGACTCTCTGACTATATTTTAGTCATTCATCTGATATATTGTGACGAGGATTGTTTATCACTATACACATCTAAATATTTCTTCTGGAGAAATTCAGGTCAACCTCCTTGCTCAAGTCCCTGGCAGCCATCTTGAAGTTGTGTATACATGACTGGATTCGCTAGGCTAACTGCTGCTTTGTTCTCTAATCTCCTGGTACAAACTACAAAATTTCTAAGGTGTGAGGGATTCACTGCACATTGTGTACACCAGATTTTTTCATAATGTTTGTGTTTCAGTTTATTTGATCTGATTAAAATGAATAAGGTACTTTAATTTTCTTTATTTTGGACCTTGTTTTGGTTTCCATTGGCAAAGCTATGCGAAAACGTGTGTCAGTGTGCAAAAACCCAACTATCACTACGTAACACAGTTCATGACCGGTTATTCCCTGGGGAAATCCATGCGCTAATTACAAGTATCATACCTTGCATAACTAATTATCTTCCAGCTTGGCAGGACACGGCAAGACAGGAGGTCTAAGGAAGCGTGTAAGCTCCAAAGGGCAAATCCATGCATTAAGTATATTCTAAACTCATAAAGTATTACGGTTTCACTTCTAAATTTCTCTTCACAGGTGCTTTCTTCATAACGCGGTAAACAAAAAAAGTCCAACTTCCTGCAAAAACGTCACTTTCATCTCCGCCCCCTCATGCTCATTAACTTTAATTATTGTTTCACCTCAACCATTAATACACTTTTTTATGTAAGCAAAAGTAACAAATGACATTCATTTACTGCCGTAAATTACTTATAGAAAATAATAGTTTAAGCTATTATTTTTAATAAACAATTTCGGTAGGCCTACATTTCTTCCCAGAGTGTTATTACCCTATTTTAAATGAACATTATAAGTATAGTATAAATGACAAATAGCGCTGCCTGTTTTACTAAAGGAGTCATAGTAAATAATACTCTTTTGTTCTTCGAAAGGCATTATGTACACTTGCAGTACATATAGAATCCAAGCAAATTCAAATTTGCTATAATATCAAATTTCGACGCAGAGGGGCGACACACCACGCAAATCGCACATTCGTGGATCTGAATAGCTTGTAATCCTAATGCAACACTTACGGAACTAATAATCAGTTTCTAAGGGGTAATGAAATAATGCCACCGAAATATGAAACAGGAAGCATAAAATAAATTAGGTATGAATAAATCGTTTCATTTCAGAAGCAGTCCTTCCTGATTGTTAATGGACATGTGAGGTATATTCTATCCATTTTCGTGCTGTATAAAATAAAATGTAGTATTACCTACAGTGTATGATGTGTACTATAAAAAAAAAATCTAGGAGTATATATATATATATATATATATATATATATATATATATATATATAAAGTGCACAAAGCTAGGCCTATATGATTTCGATTCATTTGGAAAGAGTTAACTATGGGGCACCCAAGCTTAGCTAATGACTAACTGACATTTTCTAATAGTAAGCAAATTAACATTTTACTAACCTGCCGAAAGCCAAAGGCTTTCCCACGTTTTCCCACGTTTTAATTAATGTCCATTGACAAAGACTGAAACAGGTCCATTAATTACTTTCACATAAATACACTTACGATAGTAATAAAAACAGTAATATACAAGCTACATGAATGGTAACTTTTTTAATGGTTAATTTTTACTGCTGTTCACTTTACATATTTGAATAACCAAAAAAGGCGTATTTCACTATCTGTAAACTTTCCCTCTTCTTCAACCTGATGGACCATACCATATCACACTTTTGATAGCCTATCTTTATATAACGGTATGAAGTAAATTTTCCTGGCGAAAAGAGACATATATCATATTACACATTAATCTTAATTTGCAATATGAGTTTTGGCTGCATTTAAAAAATTCTGGGTTTTTTCTGGCAGTCCACGAACACCCGTTGCTGTAATGGTACATACCCGTTACTTCTGAGGTAAATCTGTCCCCTTATTCCCGCACGCAACGGTCTGAGCAATGAGGTGCCAAGTGGAGCGGGGAGGATGAGGATTAATCCTCTAAAAACGCAGTAGCTTGGGAAAAAAATGACTTTACTTGCGATGTTCTGGATCTTATTAGTTTGTTTATCAGGTACGTTCATATATTAAGTTATATTTTTTATCTTTACCTTGATGTAACCACGTAACAGGTTGATGAGCGGTTTCAAGTAACGGTTCTCTTATTGTTCTGTTTCTTATTTATGTTAGTATAGCCTATTAGTTTATGATGTTATTTTTCATAGAGATATTAGTCTGTTTTTGTTATTTAAAAACGTCTAGGGCTTTTTGGCGTTGGTATAAACCATTTAATCAACTTAAACTTCGTGTTTTTAATAGTTCGGATTTCTGGAAAGCCACCAAATACGCGGCCATGGGACAGGACAGGCAGATACTGTTATCGGGATTAATGACGAAAGAAAATGATAAGGGCAATATACCAGTGTGCATTTTCAGTAAAACTGGCCAGAGAGGAGTATAAGATGATACTTGAGTGTTTGTAGAGATCTTGTGCTGAGTTAAAATTTGCAAACATTTATCCTTTGGTTTATCTAAGTAGTGAAAAAATATTTCTGTCATGCGTCACTTTTTTTTGTAACTACTAATACAGTTACATAGCATGTATTCTGAAACGTTGTTTTACCGTTGTTTTCCTTGTGAGACTAAGTAAGTTGTTTACTTACTTTTTGCATTTTATTGGATGTGACTGCATGACTGTCCGTCTTTATCTCTCATTTTGCTCACTCTCTGTTTTGTTGCATGTAATGAGAAACACTAAAGCAGCATATATTTATAAAGTTTGAGTACATTTTTAGGTATAATGTGTGTTTTCGCATTTATTTGTGGCTTTTCCTGTCACATTGGACATCCAGCGCGATCTGTATCCAATTCTGCTGAGTTTAAGGTTTAGAGGTCAGAGGCCTGTTAACTGGGGGGTTGTGTTCTGGTTTATAACAGCTCAGTCAGTCTGGGTCTTTCAGCACCTCCTCCTCTCCTCCGAAGTGAAGTCATTCCTAATGTTTTTTTTAAGCTGAGTCAATTGTCCTACTTGCTTGAGTCCTGGTATTTCAGATCCCATCTCTGCAGGAACTTAAAAGGTGGGGGTGGGGGGAGGCTTAAAACAATGTAGAATCAAACAGTGCTGGATCTGGATGTGCCCCCGGGAGAGGAATGTAGGAATAGTCACACTGTTGCTGGGTCCCCTGCTGATCACTCAGTGTTATGGACTCCCTCACCTTTCTGCTCTTTCCTTAAAACCTAATAAAGTGAGAACCTTGGATAGCTGTAACTCTGATGACAGGGTGGGGACGTCTTTCCTGTTGTTGTCTGTGTGTCTCAGCAATATTTGGAGAAATTTCCTGAGTTCCACGAGGACTTAAATGACTTCCTTTGCTCATCCAGAACCGACCCAGGGGGGCGATGTGGGAGAGGTTACATGAACTTGGGTTTCCCCCACAACTCTAGTGTTTATGACTGTTTACTCTTCTGCAATGGTCTGGATCAGAACCCCCTAAGTGTTACAGGGCCTCCACTACTGACCGTATGTACCACATGAGTACTGAAAGCCAAACTATTTTACCCCCAGCACCAATACTGACAAAGTTAGTCCAGGACTAGGGATCTTCTAAGATGAATTCTTACCTCCAGCTCTAATGGTGCATGAACATTAGCCATGGTGTGGGGCTCTGGCATGGCCCAGATTCCGGTCCAGGATAGTGGAGCTCAGCAGTAAATAGTGTCCAGCTAGACTGTGAAAGAGTATCCTCATTCACAAGTGAGCCAGACGTGTGAGAAATGTGTTCCAGACATTACGCACTCAGTGCCAGGCAGGTAATTATTCTAATGACACGATTTTGATGCCCATTTGGGTCTGGTAAGGTGTATTCTTTGCTCTTTTGGCTGTGTCATCGTAATTATTGATCTTACAATTGCTCACCCACCATCTTACCAGCACCTTATTATATATATATATATATATATATATATATATCTTATTCTCTGATTCTTTTTTTTGCCTCAGAATCTATTTAATTGTAAATATACTGTGCATCTGCTATATGTTGGCGCGTTCCAAACTAAATCTACAAACAGTTTGGTGATGGTCACAGCCATTGGCAAACTGAGTAACAGTCATCAGGGGATGTTGTACTAAATTGACTGTGTGTGTGTGTGAGCGGGTTTACCTATCCTTATGGGGACACAATGTCCCCATAACGTGATAAATATCTGTTTTTTTTCCCTTATGGGGATCGGTTTCCTGGTCCCCATAAGGGAAAACTCTATTTTATAAAAATCGGTGACTGCTATGAAAAAACTAAAAATGTAAAAACTCTTGTATTTTGTTTGGTTACTTATGGTTATGGTTAGGGCAGGGTAGGGGTTATGGTTGTCATAGTTAGCGTTAGCATTTTTCCCATTGAAATGAATGAACGGTCCCCATAAGGATATGTTTACCCTACATGTGTGTGTGTGTAGAACTCCAGGTCCAGGCTCACTGCAATCCTGCGTCAAATACACAGTCCTACAAAATGTATAGAATAAACAGATATATCTGAAAAGAACAACTCATTAGTGGATCAATAGATTTTCTTTATAAATTGTAGTTTTTACATTTAAATTATCCATAACTCTCGAAACTCAGGTGGGGATAGTTATATGCAGTTTAGACACACTGATCCTTCTAAATTGCATGTCATTTGACTGCGGGAGGAAACTAGTGGGAGGAGTACCCAAGGGAGACCCAAACGTGCGAAGCCCACACACACAGAGGCAAGACATGGATCACACCCACCAGCATGGAGGTGTGAGCCCCCATATAACCTAGCCATCTCTCCTCCGCCTCCTCATGTCTGATGACTTCCCATCCCTCTCCAGGTTTGTCAGTGCGGATGTGCGGCAGTGTGCAGGTCACCATACATGACAAGAGGAAGTACGCCATGCTCTTCCAGTCAGTAGTCCTGCCATGCCAGTACTCCAGCGCCTCCAGTCAGACGCCTGTGGTTCAGTGGTGGTACAAGTCTTACTGCCATGACCGCACCTATGACGCCTTCAGCTTCCACAAGAGCCTGGGGCTGCATGCCTCAGAGCTGGGCCCCACCTCCCACCTGGACTGCTCTGACAGCAGCCGAACAGTCCGGATCGTGGCCTCGGGACAAGGCCACTCCCTGACCCTGTCTGAGTACTACAAGGGACGAGACATCTCCATCATCAACAGTACATATCACCTTTCCTATTATGCGAAGTGTGTATGATTGATGTTTTAATTATTGTATCTGAGTAAGTATTATGATTACTTTTTGTGTATTACAGTGTCATCATGATGCAGGGCTTGTGTTGCCCATAGCATGTCTCTCAGCCCAGCGCTCTGCATTCCTCATTAAATCCACAGTGTAATTATAGTCCCTCAGTATTGTCATTGAGTCATCACAATCGGATTATGAATGTTACGTAATCCTTTGTTGTGCTGAACTTCGTCCCATGGAGCTGTTTCCCGTCCATGTCCGCGTGTGCTTACCTGCTGTTTTCAGTACCTGCACTTTTCAGTAACGCTATTTCAGGTTTTCCTGACTTTTCAGAGCTTGTTGCGTTTAGCTTGCCTTTTCACAGCATACCGTTTTACCAATTTGTACAGCTGCCTGTTTCACTGGAAAAAGTCAGGCTGCCTACAGTAGTTCTCACTGAGGCTCCTCCTGGGATGTGAGCCAACAGCATTCAGGTTGTAAGGTGACATGTTTTATTGCTGTTCTGCTCGCTATAGCCACATTATGTCGGTTGATGCAGTGCGGCAGAAAGAAATTATCCACTCACAGTGTTTTTCTCCACTGAATGGATTAGGGAGGGCAGGAGCACTAAGTTGTGTGGGAGCTGTTTCTGAAATTACAAAGTATGACCCCCATCTGGGGCTGGGGGAATCAGCTTAGAAGTACAGAGTAGTGTGGTGTATAGTAGCCCATACCTCAGTGAAAACAGGGAAGATAAATGCTGCTCACAGGCCTGCTGTAGATTTATCAAGGCCCATTGCCTGGCAGATTCATGGCCCTGGTATTGTGTCTCCGAATGAGGTTACTTTGTTCCCTGTTGTAAAATGCATGTCTCCACTGTGCTGAAGGACACATCAAGAAAATAGGAGGTTTCTTTCACACTTCAGAGGACCTTGTTTCTGTACATGGGGGGTGGGGTGGTCCGTGTGTATCCGTGTGTATATATCATCATTTTTCCGGGTCCTTCTGCGAGTAAACAAAGCCAGTTCATGAGTGCATTGTACATATTCATTCGCCAGTTGGTTCAGCCCCATCTGCCTGTCTGCTGCTCGATACCGGCTCCTGAATCCTGGAGCAGAGTGCTGTTCACAAAAAAAAAAAAAAACAAACTAGAAAGGTCCCTCATTGTGCTGGACTTTTCCTGTTGCCTAAATTAATTTGTTTACTTCCCTGCACAATGGGCAGCAGGGGAGAGAGAACAATGGCTTCCTCGCACTCCCCTTTGCAGTGTCTCCCACTTCAGCTGTCTAGTCCCCATACTTCTCTCTGTTTTCTGAAAAGCTATAGAAAAACCTTTCTTTGCTTTCAGTACGTTTGACCCTCCAGCATTTCTGAGGCAACATCCGTAGCAGTCGTTGTTTTTCTTAATTGCCCGTGGGGATGTTAGACACAACAAGGACATGGTGCCTCAACAGGAAGGGATGGGCACAGTGTTGAAACACGTACAAGTACTTGTGTCCTGAAGGTTGCTGATTCAGGTCACGGGCTCAAGATTTGGGATGTGCCCTTAGGTTGTCCATTATACTATCTAGTTAAACAAACATAATTTTTTTAGGGATGGATTCACTGTGCCTTACACATGTTGATGACCATGATCTTTTTTGTAATAAGCATGTGTGGTCCTTGTCCCAACATAAATTTGTAGGATTTGTGAACTGGGCCTTTTCTCGGATGATTGGACTTCAGACCTAATCCTATCCATAGCTAGCAGGAAGCCTCACTATGTAGCACCATCCTCTGACTCACGTCCTAGTGCTGCTTTTCTCGATATGCGTCATGCTGCACGGTGTAGGAGAGCTTCTTGGAGATACGAGGGACAGCATGTTCAGCAGCCAGCAGGCTGTGAGCCATGATATCCTGTTCCATTTACCTCCTCCGGCCTCTTACTATCCCTTCTGGCCTGTGCCGCTGGGAAAGTCCCTTCTATATGAACAAATGACCCCGAGGTTAGATGCGTCCACGCCCAGCCTTTGTGAAATATAAACCGACCAAATGTCTTGCTGAGTCTTGGCCCTGTGCAGCACGTGGGCTAGCTGAAACTGCCAAAAAAAGCCAACACCCCTCCCAGGGTGATCTCTATAGCCATGACATGACACGCCTCTCCCCCCCACCCCCAGAAGCTGACCTGCACATCGGCCAGCTGCGATGGGGCGACAGTGGCATGTACTACTGCAAGGTGGTTATCTCAGATGATCTGGAGGGCCAGAACGAGGACCATGTGGAGCTGCTGGTGCTGGGTGAGTCCAGATGCATCCCTAAAGTTCTCATCTTCTGAGAGGAACATGCTCTCGGTGACCATCACAAGGTACATACAACTGAGAGCATGACTTGTTATCAGTGTTTATTGGTCCAAGCTGAGAATCCTGACCAAATCAATCATTTTGGCCTGAAATAACATTTTAAGTGTCACGGCTCGGGGGCAAAATGCATGTGTGCATGCGCCTTTGTCCTTGTGCCGTTTGGTGGAAGCCGCTTAAACCGTGACAGCGTCCGTGCTGCAGCCACAGACAGCTCCATGGCAATGGGGGAGTGGCATCCACACTGCGAAGCGGACCTTTGATCCCCAGTGAGTGGGCCTTTTGTTTATCTCTTGGCATGTCAACACACAGACTCTTGGCCTTACCCCCTTGCCCGAATCCCGTGTGGGCTGCATCTTCTGTACGCTGGGTCAGGATCCCATCTTAAATTCTGGGGTCAGGATTTGCTCTTGTGTTTTTTCTTTTCATCCCCCCCCCCC